TAATCTCATGCTATTTTTTTCTGATTCTGTATTTTACCATATTATAAGCCAACTATTTCCCTGTAGTTGATTAAATTATGTTTAATATTGACTTGGTGCTTTTCACCTTTAGGTCTGTTTATAATTAATCTTTACCACCTGCCAGAAGTGTAGATATTTTTATTTCCATCTTGTAAATGTGAAGGCTAAGGTATAGAGAGATTAATTGACTTTTTGTTCTGGCTACAAACATAATGATAATCAGAACATGAATTAGAAATCCTTGGCTTCAAGTCCATTAGCATTGGACCATTGCCATTTTCTTACAAAAACAAAACACCCTTCATAGCAGTATCTATCCCATCATTAAACCCAAACTTAATGTAATTAATCCAAATGTCTCAAATATAAAATTTGACATAGATATTTTATTGATTACTAGGCTATAAATATTATTTATTTCAAAAGTTTTTACTTTGATGAATATGTATTTTTATTGAATTTGTATGATTTATACTGAATTGAAAAATTGCAAGTTATTTTCAATCTCAAACACAGGCAGCAAAAATAAGTAGGTAATGGGATAGTGATTTTCTGTAGATGAAATATCACCCTTATAAACACAGGCACATGTTTGATTCGGAATAAGTCACTTTGAATATTTTCCAAAGATGCTTGTAAATATGAGTGCATTGCTTTTAAAATAATCAGAATGTTTGTGTTCATGAAATTCAATATAAACTAGTAAGCAGAAAATGCATAATATCATACCATAGGGAATAAATAACATTAGAAAAGATAGCCCATACAGGACTTCAGAACCCATGTTGGTGTGGCCAATGGGCAGAATCTGTAATCCAATTTGCACTACTTTCTAAGTCTACAGAATTATTCATGTCAATTAATGACAATGAAAGTGTGTATAGACTACATAATGTTCTATGTATTATAGTACAATGAATGAATTCAGCCATGCTACTAAGTACCCATTCCTATCAAGTCAATTCTGACTTGTATTCAGGATTTAATCTGTAGGAAACAGTAAAACTGCCCAATATGCTTTTGAAGGCTGTAAACTTCTACAGAAGCAAAGTGCCACATCTTTCTCCTCAAAAAGTAGCTGTTGTTGTTGTTGTTAAGTGCCATCGAGTCGGTTCCGACCCATAGCGACCCTGTACAGGGTTTCCGAGGGTGTAAATCTTTACGGGAGTAGAAAGCCTCATCTTTCTCCCGCGGAGTGGCTGGTAGTTTCGAACCACAGACCTTAAGGTTCGCAGCCCAATTCGTAACCACTATGCTACCAGAGCTAGTAGACTCAAATTGCTTACCTTTTGGTTTAGCAGCCAAGTGTTTACTTCCTGAATCTCTAGGACTCCTTAATTATCTCTTCTCCCTTTTTCAAATTCACAGTTGCTCAGAAGTGTGAGAATGATGGGGGTGGTGGTGGGGGGCGGGGGAGAAGCAATATTCTACTTCTTTTTTTTGTCCTATGCATATTCAGAAATATTAACATTTTTTGTCAATATTACAGCAGTAATAGAAGCAGAGTGCATCACATTATCATAATTGATCATGTGACATGCTGTGATATCTATACAAAAATATGTAGTGGTGAGGAATTGGGACAGGCAAGGTAATTAAAGGAAGAGTGTGAATGAAACAAGCCACAACCACCAAGGATGTATATGGATTCCTGGTGTAGCCTTGTAGGATCAGCACTGAACTGTGAATCACAAAGTTGGCAGTTCAAACCTACCAGCTGCTCCTCAGAAACCCCATCAGTTGGAATCAACTTGATGGTACATAACAACAACAACAAAGGATGTATATAGCCAAAAAATATATACAAGTAAGAACAAAGTAAATGATAAAAATGAGAATTAAGACTAGGTTGATTTAGCAAATACATGTATCTTTCTAGTTTTTTGCAATATGTTGTTAGGAGCCACCAAGTTGTTTCCAACTCATTGTTGGTGTTGTTAAGTGTCTTGGAGACAGTTCCAACTCATAGAGACCCTGTATAGGGTTTCTGAGGAGCAGCTAGTGGGTTTGAATTGCTGACTTGTGGTTCACAGTCCAGTGCTGTTCCTACAGCATCACAAGAATTAAAAACAAAAAAAAAATTCATTCCATTTATTTCTGAAATCATTATTTTTAAATTACAGTTGATTGTTATTCTAAACTCCCGGTGTGGCACTGCTGGATAAGCACTGAACCATAGGTTGGTGTGAACTGCAAAGTCGGCATGTCAAACTCACCGACCGCTCTTCAGAAACCCTATATAGGGTTGCTATGAGTTGGAACCAACTCACAGCATTAACCACTACAACAACAATTATGTTCTAAATTCCTTGGAGCAGGTCATGACAGAAGTGTATCTTTAGCATTTTCTAATTTTTTTCTGATATAAAACAAAACAAATTACTTATGAAATTATTACCACAACAGTGAATTAGAAACAATTTTAAGAAACAGTTCGTATGAGATTAAGCCAAAGAATAAGAAGTTCTAAAGTAAACTAATATCATAAAATAGCATGCTCAATATATACATATATAAGCATATATGTATATGTAGTATTTCAGGAAGCTCCAAGACCTACTTTCTCATAGTACTTGATCTCGTAGTCCAGAATGGCTCCATTGGAAAAAGCAGGTGCTTGCCATGATAGGGCAATGCTATTTTGGGATGCCCAGTCCTTCCTTACCATACCTATCAGAGAAGGTGCTGAAATGAAAGAAAATAACTAAGAATTAATTGGCAGGAATAATTTTCTATAATGTTTTCTTTATTACTTTCTTTTCCAAGGAAATCAATTATTGTTGAAGAAGACACTGATGGTTGATAGTTTAGGATCTACTCTATTCAATCCAAATTAAAAAAAAAAAATCAAAATATATTACAAAGCATTATTGGGGAACACAGGAAACACTGAGATATTATAATAAAAGAAGGGCCAATTTTGATATCACTAAAGGAGT